TTGAAAGAGTTCCAGGAATGTCTGATCCCAAATGGGCTCATACTCATAAGAATAATGGTGAAATCCAAACTGATTATTTTACAGACTTTAATATTCATGCCATATCTAGTTTCCCTAATCATAACAAGATGATTTAATTTTCTTAAATAAGAGCTTAAGTAGCAGGTCGTAGAGCAGAAAACTGCCATTCATTAAAAGGCCACTCAGAACTTCTAAACTAGTTTGTAAATATCAGTGGGTTATTTCTGTCAGTTTTCAGACCTGAATATCCTGAATTTCTTTAAAGAAATATTTGATAACTCCAGACTTGTAAAATATTTGGCCTATAAATGGTTAAATTTACATCAAGTGACCTCACAAAGTTTTCTCAATGTGATTATTCATTTGTAAGTAAAATTTAAGTTTAAAATAATTTATCTAATGGAATCTGTCTTTAACATATATAGTAACTTTATAATTTTGCCTAGAGTTGAAAACTCACAATTTGTTTAAATGTGTGATGCTAATGATTTGGCAAATTATAAATAATGAATTATGCATTTTTCTCAATCATTTCAATATTCCATTTATGGGCTTGAACATAGCCAGACACAATAGACTTTAAATGAATTTATAAGGTTGCTTAATGATATATTTTTGTTGTTCTTTGTTTCATCTTTGGTACTGTGGATCGAATTTAGGTCCTTGCACTTGTGAGGCAGGCAGTGCAACCATTGAGCTAAAACCCCAGCCCTTAATGATATTTTTAATATACTACACATATGTAGTCTGAGCTCTTGCCTCTGGACTCATAAAAGCAAAAATTGTGTAACTGTGTTTAATGAAGAAACAAAACCAGTCTCAATAATCTTACCCTTTCCCCTCTCTAATAGGATTATATGTTTCTTTGTGATTTAATTTTGGTTGCTTCATTTTGACATCTGTACATAAACTCTGTCCCTTCCTCTCTTCCTGGGTCTATAATTTGCATCAAGTTTGGAAAATTCTCACCCTATATTTCAATAGCTTTCTGCTTTATTCCTCTATCTCTTCTCCTCCAGGGACTATTTGACTACTTGAAATTTTCTCACAGTTCTCAGTTTCCCTTCCTCCCTCCTCCCCGCTTCCTCTCTTCTTTCTTCCAGTTGGTCTGTTTTCTGTCTGTGTTGTGTCAATACTTGTATTTTCATTCCACTTTCATTTCTTCTGCAGTGCCTTCCCAGTGATTAACCTATGTGTACTCTATTTCTTTATCTCACACATTTTTGCTTTCATTTCTAGAAATTTGATCTCGGTTACATTTAGGTCAGTGTCTTTAACCTATTTTCTAACTTTGTGAACATACAGAATATGCTTAAATGTCCTTCTTTATATTTCTATTATCTTTGTCATTTCTGGGTAAGGTTTGATTGATTTTTCTGCCCATTATAGGGTGTACTTTTCTACTTCTTTGCATGCTAGATTTTTTTAAAAATTGGAGATAATAGACATTGTGGATTCTACCGTGTTGGTTGCTGATTAGTTTCGCATACATGGTTATATTATTTGAAGATAGTTTTGAGATACAGTGAAGTTGCTTGGAAACAGTGTGACCCAGCTTGCACCCAATTATTTTAAAGATTTGTTAGGTAGTACCAAAGCACTATTTATTCTCCCTTTAATCATTCTCCATTAGTAAAGTGAATATTTCTTAGTAATCTAATGGATTTCCTGTGAATTACGAACTTCCTCCCTTGGTGTTGGCCTCTGTGTGTGTCCCAGACTCCTCTCTGGTAGTTCATCAGCACGCAGTTGTCAGAGGATCTCATGCAGATGTCTCTGGCTCTTTCTAAAAGCTTTCTCTTCACTGGTGCTGCTGCTCCAAACACTACACATTTTGATTTCACTGCATTTTCAAAGATGTATCAGCAACTGAGAGGTTGTTGGGATCTAACTGAGTTCTACTTCCCTGTGCTACAGTAGGAAAATTTCTCTAGAGAGTATGCTGGGAAACCATAAGACTTACTTCCTTTGTTTCTCATCTCCTGCAAACTACTGTCTTCTGTTGCAAAGGAAGAGTCATTGCTTGATTCATTTTCCTTGCTCTGGGGGTTTTTTTGGTAGTAAGATCAATCTATACTTTGTTATTCCATCTTGGCCGGAAGCAGAAGCTTCTAAATAGGACTGTAGCAATATTTAATATGGAAAGGTATCCACATGTGTTTCACAGTGGTTCAAAATATGTTTTGAATGACAATGGTTCCTTTAAAAAATACATTGGGGAAATTATTCTAAGTTTTCATATATAATATATATCATCCTATCCCAAAGAGTTTTATGTTTAAAAAAGAAATTTAAACAGTACAAAATACTCGTTATTCAATATTACGTCTTAAAGATTGTAAATCTAAATGTGCATTCTTATACAGAAGTGAAGACCAAGTTGTATTACAACTCCTTTCTGTTTAATTTTAAAATAGTAATAATTTAGACCTAGTAAAATACATGGTACTACATTATATCTTGGGAAAAATTAATAAAAGATAAAAAGTAACATAAATAATTATATATTTAGATAAAATTTAGAGACATTTATCTATAGATAGATAATGTATGCATTTGATTATAGTCACTGAAACAATTTTTATGGAATGTTTATTCAAAAGAAAAGATTTATGTTACAGTGTAACTTGAAATATTTTACTTGCATATAGAACTTAAGCATATTAAATGTATAACTGTGTATTTTCTTTTCTCTACTATAAAAAACATTAAGTGTGTGTTATAATATATCAAATAAATACACAGTGTATTGAATGCCAGTCAGGCTTCGGGCACTGTAATACACAGTGGATCAGTGTGTGCATATTTTCTAGTTGGATAGTAAGATGTTTTACAAAAAAGTATAGAGTGCCACTGGATTAATTAAACAGTTAATGAATGATGTTTGACAGAGAAATCATGGGTTATTTTGGTTCAGTGACATATGTGATATTGACATTTATATGTGTGCATTTTGTGAGCAAGAGAAAGTCCTTTTGATGTTTAACAGTCATAGTGATGTTATATTGTTTTATGACCTCTTTATTGAGCCCTGCAAACTTTATATAATTTTGCTGTTTTTTCTTTTTATTTACACATCCCCAAGTAATATAAATTGTATTGTTCTAAATTTAAAAGCCACACTATTATTTAATGTTATGAATTTTTAAATTATAAGGCATGAAACTCCAATTTCATATTTCATTATCTACTGTTGTTGAAAATGTCTGCCTCATAGTTACAGAATTCGAGTAGTGAAAATGTATATTAAATTTGACCTGCTAGTTAATAAACTTCCTAGTATTTAGTTACTTTAATTTTTCATAGAAGTTGTAACATATCATATATCTTTTCTGTTGGTTTTCGTTTGCCCTTATCTCTCCAAGATGTATCAGTCAATAAGGTTATTAGTGAAAAGTAACTTTTGGGGTAGTCAGAGTAAAGTATGCTCCCTACTGTATTACAGTTTGTGTGTGTGTGTGCGTGTGTGTGTGGCAGCGTACTCTTCAAAGACGTTGGGGGATTGAAAGAGAAAAACGTTACAAAGATGTAGAGCTACATCCTGTCTTGGTAGAGTGGAACGCGTGTTGGGGGAGCCAGTCAACCTCTTCAGGAGCCTGCAGGGCTCCTTTCCGCAGACACAGTTAGATTTCATCAACACCAACAAGTAGAGGAACCGTAGACAAAGTCGAGCACATTATGATAATGATGTACATCGAATGCCAGGTAAAACAGAGAAATATTCTCAGAGAGGAAAGAGGGGTGATCGCAGAACGCAGCGCACTGGGGTTACAGAGGACTGACGTGAGGACCTGGGAACCCTGGCTTCTTGGCTTTAGGGAGACTTGGTGCAAGCAGGAAGGTCTCCGAGTGGGTGGTGATGGTAAATCTGTGTCTCACGGTGGGACAGGGGCGGTGTTTACAGAACCATGCATCTCTGCTGGTCCCCGTCTTCTGCCACTGGAAACTCATGGACAGGAGTGGGCATGATGTGAGAAAGTTCAGTTACTCTCTCTGGCAGCTTCTGCCAGTGAATCACTAAGACTGATTCCTTCATGGACCCCGAATAGAGATGATAGTGCATTTTGTCTTCACTTCCTTCTGAGTTCTTCATGACTTGTCTCAGAAATTCTGAGGGAATATTGTAGGAATCATTTGTTGTTTACATGGAAACATTTTACGAATAAAATTGGAATGTCTCAATTGAACAACCACTGTATAGAAGGTCAAGTCCATTAACAAGCTCCTGACTTTAATGAGTAGCATTCACCATGGAATAAATCACAAAATGAAGAGTTAATAACAAATCCTCTTTTCTGGGCAAACGCATACAAAGAAAGAACACTAGCTTTGGATCCCATGCTACATCTACCGTGACTACTGGTGTGTCACCCACCTCTGATATTTTTACTAGCCATGACACCTACATGGACCTCAGTTAAATAAAAATACACGTTTGTATGCATGAGTGGGTTTATAAAAAAATAAAAATACATGTTCATATGCATGAGTGGATTTATAAAAGTGACTTCATTACTAAACGTAAAGCAAATGGCTACAGTTTATCTACCACTGGTGTTCATGACAGTCCCAAATCCAACCGCACCTCTTCTTAATAAGCTCAGAGGAAAGCACTGACTTTTCTTCTCAGTTTTCAGATTAATATAATTTATTATCGATGCCTAATAGGAGAAAAGTTAAGAACTTCGAAGGAATTCAGCTGATATGTAGTTGTTTTTTTTTTTTTTGCAAATATTTCTGTATTTATCTCTACAAGATAAATTTCTCAATTGTTATATCTAAAATGATTAATAATTCCATTTTAACTGTTGGTGTCAATACTAATATTGAGTGTGTTTATTCTTACCCAGGGTTGGTGGGATAGTTTAAGATATAGTTTGTAAATATTTAAAAAGGTTTTGTCATTAAAATATTTAAAAGCTTTAGCATTAACATAAGAGACAGTCCTTTATGTAGTTTATATTTTGTTGGTTTTGTAGGGTAGAAAGTGTGACTGAGCTGAACATAAGACTTGGCAGATTCTCATCATGAACCGTGCATTTAGCAGGAAGAAAGGTAAGTCTGCTTGTTTTAGAGGATGTGGGAGTCAAACCAATACTATAAAAATAAAACAGATGATAAGAAATCTGTGTTTACTCTTATCAAAGCACAGCGCTCAGGAATGAAGTTGTTAGATCAATTAAAATATGTGGCTATTCCTAATTGGTTCACAACATCTCTGTGATAATTTCCCTTCCCCTGCAATTTTATGCAGTGTTAAGAAATTTCAAAGAATAAAATGATCTGAAAACTAGTGCTAACTGCATTTTATGTAGCCATATTATACTAAATTCTCCAGGCTCACATAAGCTTGCGCATATAAATTCATTATTGGGTATTTGTGTTCATGTGTATATGTTCACACACACGTGCTTTTCATAGATTATTGAATAATATGAACGAATTGGTAGTAAGTGGGATACTCAGAAAAATTTAAAAGAAGCATAAATTCAACCTATCATAACCATCAGAAAGGAAGACAATAACACAATTTACACACTGTTTTACAAAGAGCAGGAAAATATCGCATTTGACAAAATATTTCATGAGGCATTCATAGGAAAGAAAGATTTCATAGTTTAGTTCAATGAAGTTAAAGTAATATATTCTTTTCATTCTAGAAGTTCTGTAATGAAGGGTACAGGCTGTCTCATGTCTAACACACTATCAGTAAATTGGCAGAGAATACTTAAACAATGCTAATCGAATTCATACACAAGTGGAGGTGACTGACCAGGTGGGGTTACAGATACGTTAGTTGTACAGTTAGGTCTTATTCGACCCTATAGATTTACTAAGATATTGTAAACTGCTCAAAAAAGGTCCAGAAAATCTAATTATTTTTAATATATCATGTAATTATTTGATTTTGTTTGTATTTGGAAGATTCGCCTTCAGTGGCCTTCAGTTATAAAGTCAAGGGTGACGACCAAAGGCTGTTGTTCAGCTTTCTTTCTTTCCTTTTTTTTTTGGTACCGGGGCTCGAACTCAGGTCTTTGCATTTGCAAGGCAGGCGACAGAACCACTGAGCTAAATTCCCTGCCCCTTATTTCTAATATATGAGCAGCGAAGAATCCAGGACAGGGGCTGCAGCGCTCAGTTCCCTTCAGCACAGCCAGGCGTAGCGTGTCCTCTCTTTACAAGGTTTAAAGGATTGAAACAAACGCACACTCACTTGCCCAGATGAGAAACACTGGGAAACATCCAGCACTTTCAAACAGTAGCAGGAAGCACAGCCGGGAACGCTGGGCGTGGAGTGAGAGCTTCTTTCCAGTGTGTGAAGAGGCTCCATTTAGCCCTGGGATTTAGTTTAATAAAGGACAAGTAGGTGCAAATTATAAGGTCATTGATTTAATGTAGGAGAAAGCATCCGACAGAGTTGTGTAAAAGTGTAATAGAATGACTCAGATTGCTTAACTATTCGTGACTGGAGTGAGATGTTCGGCAGGAATTTAGATTTGACCTAATGACGCTTTTCAAGTCACTATTTGACTTATTTTTCTGAGTAAAGGGAAGTAAAATGAAGTTGTTTGGAGTCCATAGCTTGTTTCTGCTTTAAAACATATTTAAAAATAAAACACTTTTAATTCTTTTTGCAACTGAAGAAGTCTAGGAACCACTGATTTATTTTCATTAAAGTAATAGAAACTTGCATTATAACTCATCACTTTAATCACATTATCTTAGTTTTGTTTGTTGTTTTTTTTTTTTGTACCGGGGATTGAATTCTGGTCCTTGCGCTTACTAGGCAGGCAGTGGCACCACTGAGCTAAATCCCCGGCCCACATTATCTTAGTTTTTTTTTTCCTCAGTGAGTTTATTGGTACATTTTAGGTATACAGTACAATTACGTTCATCATTGGGATCTTGTACCTTTACATGACAGGTCTTGGTTCTCATTTTTTCCCCTTGTCCCTGCCCTCCTTTTACTCCTCCTTCCTCCCCCTTTACAAACACTTCATTTCCATTTCTTCATTTTCTCATATTTTTTTCTTTTCCCTTATTACCTTTCCCCTACCTTTCCCATGTTCCCTATGTCTTTAACCCCTTTCTTCCTATCTTAGTTTTAAAAAACCATTTCTTGAGACCTCGGCCATATGTGTGTGTATATATGTGATGCTTATAATTCCCTTTCTCAATCCTTTAAAATTTAAGCAACATTTAATTTAACATTTATTTGAAGGAGGTTAACAAGTCTCAAGGATTTTGAATTATTACACAGGTAACCAATGGTTGCATGTTTGTGCTGTTTGCCTGCAGTGGGAGCACAACTTTGGGGAGAAATGCAGTGATTTGGTGAATCAGGAATAGGATCACTAGTCATTGCCTCATTTTTTTTTTTAATTTCCTTTACCTGCTCTTATTTTTCAAGCCTCATGATGAAATATCCTTATCAAGAATTTATTGGTCAGTATTTTGCTGCAAGTCCAACTAGAACTTGGTATGTGAAATTCTGCAGAAGCCCATCGATTCTGACTCTCATTTGCTCAAACAAGAATTCTTAGAGCCTCTGTTCCTGGTTTTAACCATCAGGACTACTTAATTGAATTTTAATTTCAGAAAGTATCTTGAAATTTATGAAAGAATTCATATATCCTGACAATCTAGCTCTGTAAATAAATATATAATCCAAGTGCTATTTTTCATGACTGTTGTCTA